TGATAGGTTGGAGTCATGTAGTATGAAAATTGTAACAACGAGAGAGAAGAGACTACCAAATACAGCAGCAGACAGGCATAAGGAAAATCCAACTTTTCTTGTGTTTCCAAGAAATGACTGGAAAAATGGAACTGATGTGTTAGTTTTAAGTGTAGTTTCTCCAATTATTAATTACTATCATCTTTAGTCATTGAAATATATTTAAGTTTTGTCAACCATGTGAGGGTTCAAGTTGAAAAGCATATTTGCCCTTAAACCTGAACCACACTGCAAGTTTTTCCCCCCTTTTCATGTTTCTAAATGTTGTTTGCTGACATCTGGGCAGTTCAGTACCTTCAACTCCCAGTGACCCCTGGCTGACTCCTGCTTTGGGCACTTCAGATTTTACTGGCTGTGAGTATGCACATGTGATACATTTGTTTGGCAAGCTCGCCACACAATTCCTGCCTGCCTGTATTGTCAGGCAAATACCTCCATAGCCTTGTCCCCTTCACCGGTGGCGCAGTTGAAGACTTTGCATGAGCTGACAGCCTAGAAACGGCAGTAAAATAGGGGACTTCCGGTGGAGTTTTCCAAATAGACCACACTCTTTGTGCGATCAACAGGTTAGCCCACAATTTGTACTTTGTGCGATAAGGGTGTTTGTTACAGTAACCATTCTATTCTTCCGGAGGACCTTTGCCCTCATCATAAGTGCTTGGCTTTGCCTTGGGCCATGGGGAGGGGTGTGTGGTTGAGACAAACAATGGAAGGGTATAGTCAAAAGGCACAACATTCTGTTCGTAGACAATCATTGCTGTTGGTTATATTTTTTTTACTGCATTAAAAAATGGTTTCATTGCGAAAATTGGTGGGTAAACTAGAACTGACAAGATAACCATGTTGAATGTTGCAATGCGAAGTTTCTGTTAGGCCATTAAACTTAAATAACACTAACAACTTTGTGTCCAAGAGAGACAATTACTGGAAATGAAAAAAAAAACCTGAGGAGACAGGCTCTGTCTGTGACAGGAGTTTGATTTTAATTTTCTTGATGGTTCCCCACAAGCTGTTTTCAATCGAACCTGTCTCGCAGAGGAGGAACAGGAAAAACACCCAAATCTCCTGGTATGCTTTCATTTAGAAGAATTACACAAATAAGAATTCATAGACCAAACCCCCTTCCCTGTCCACAAAAACAGTTATCTGTAACTGGCTGAAAGTAGACCTTTGACGACCTGTGTAGGAAAGTTGACAGGAGTCACCCTTTTCTTCTAATGTAAGATGATCCTCCTTACTTTCCTTCCTCCCCACCTTCTCCAGGCCTAATGTCCCCCATCTGTTGCAGCTTTGCCTGTCTTCAGACCTAATACAGCAGGACAGGTCCAGCCTCCTGCCTCTGCACTGGAATGCAAAGTGCTTTGTGCCGGGACCCAAACTTTACCAGCCACCTTTCAGCGAAATTGAAAAGATGGCTAGCTAGGTTACCGCGAAGCAGGGGTAAGCTGGACAATGCTACCTTTGTGCAAGGCATGGGCGGTTGTGGTAATTGATTTCCACCCAGGAATAAACCTCTCCTTCTCCATTAGCCATACAGCGCTATTCAGTGGAACAGAACTGAGAAGCACATGACCCCGTTTGCCACTTGGTTTCCACAGTGGAGGCTGCCGGTTTAGAGAATATCCCGGGGAATGTCGCATAAGTTCGCCGTCCTTCAAGTTGCTATCAATACTGTTCTTTCATGGTGCCCCCCTCCCCCCATAGAACCCTGCTTGATTTGTACTTATGAGTACTTGAACATAAGATTCAGAAAATCTTTCAATATACATGGGCTCGATTAATTTTCCAGCATTGAATGAATGAATAATGTACTAATAATGTCATTGTTGATGGAAGAAATTATACTTTGTACAGGATAAAGCTTGCGGCTTGGTTTTTGTCCTTTCTGAAATGACAAGTTGTGGTCACAAAGTTCTACACAGCAAGGTAAAATTCAATAAAAGATATGCAGTCTGCGCTGAACCCTGTAATTTTAGCATAGCACTTTCTATAGAAAGTCCTTCCTTTTGTGGCATTGTTTAAGTTTCAGCGAGGGCTCTGACACGTGTAAGCACACTGCTGCAGGGTCGAATACTGAACTTTCAGTTTAATGAACAGTTGTCATTTAACAGTTAGTCTTGTGTGAGGTTTACTCCAACTACATCTGTGAGATATCCCACTTGACTCCACACCGCTCACAGAATTATTTCTTCAAGAAATTTGGAGGTTGGGAGGTCGGTGGGAGTTATGTTTCAGTTGTTTGGATTCTGCGGTTATTTTGCTGAGATTGGTATGGGAAGTTGCCACAAGGCCATGGTTGACTGGCCGTGAAAATTGGGTTTTAGATGTCAGTCTTTTCCCCCACTCCTGACATGTGTCTCCACCAACTTGGGAATTCTTAGTACTCTCCCTAGAACCTAACATAAGGGGACACTCCAGTTGATATGCAGGGGGATGGAGATGAAAGTTAATTTTTCAAGCACACTGTTAGAATTATTCAAGTCTTGTTACTTTTCTTGAAAATTTGTTAAAAGAAAGTTGTAAAAGTATGACATCGAAGTTCATCCTGCAAGAACTCTGGTTAACTTTGATCCTCCTACAATGTCAAAAACTTCCTTTTGAAGGTTTTAAAACAGGAGAAAGAAATAACCCGGGTAGGTCTGGTTTTCATTTCCTCGCTTTGAAGTCCCACATCCCACCTCACAGTGGAATTCACTGTCTTCTTGGACATCGCCAACTTTGCAATCTGCGGAACTTGGAAATGAGTCACCTGTTAGAGATTCTGAGACTCCTCCTCCTTTCAAGACTTTTTCTTCCATCGAAGTATCATACCATGAGTCAGCAGACGTCACGCTGGGCTGTGTGTTTTGAATGTATCTTTGATATACTGTGCCTGTCTTCAATTATATGTGGAGAATTCACTGGAGGAACACTATTTGTAAGACAGTACCAGTAACTATGCAAAGAACCTGCCTTCTTATGGGGCAAACTGTAATTCTTCTCGTGAACTGCAAATCAATACTCTCAGTCAACATTGGACTATGTAAACTACATGAAGAAAATGTAGTTCTATAGTACAAGTGTCAATATCCCCACAAATTTTTTAATATGAGAAATTTACAGACCGCAAGTAACATTTCACATTTTTACCAGTGTAAAATCAGTAGTGTCCCCTTTCCAAAATACCCGGACTTGGCTCAAGGTTACATAGTTATGTCAGCATGGGGAACAGAAATTATTTCCAGCCTCCATGGCTGCCTTGAAATTAACATGGAGATCAAAGATGGCATGTCCTTGGAAAGGGCTTTGGTGTTAAATCCTTTCAGGCTTACTCACCAGAAAGTTAGGACTAATAAAGTAGTTATTTGTCTGAGAGATGCCTCGGGCACTGTTCTGTCCAGGTGCTGTAAGCTTACTCTTGAAGAAAGCTTTCTTGATTTCCTGTCTTGGGGGGCTCAAGGTTATAAACAGATGTCATGTTACTGAAATTAGGTTGTTCCTTTTGGCTTATTTCTTCCTGTATAATGTTGTAATGTTCTGTTATGGTAGCTCTAACTGTCTTGCACAGAATTGTAACAGAGACGACTTGTTAGAATGAAAGTTGTGATGGTTCATTGCTACTTATCACATGAAACTGCCCCCTTGCTGTACTACCACTGTCCTGAACAGCCTGTAAAACAGCAAGAGGACACACGCTTGCTGTCCCACCTACACATACACAACAACACACAAGGCCATATTTACCCACGTGTAGAGTGATGAAATCTTTTTCCAACCCTGCTCTTTTCTGGAAGGAATGCAATTAGCGAGAGGCACTTTGTAACCCAACTCTGCTTGCTTCTGAAGGTTTTATGGACATTTACCTAAAAGCCAATCCCTGTAGCATACATACTGTAGGCCGCGAAGACACATGCTGAACTACAGGTACTTCTGTTTTCTTCAATACTGTCTGGATGCACGCTTAGCCATCTTAAAATTCTTTTACTATTTCATTACAAAATTCTATGCCATTTCTGAACTAGCTAGAGAAATGACTCTAACTTGATCAAGAGACAACATTGCCGCTTTCTGTAAACCGAAATTGGTTCCTTTCTTAGTTGCATCAGGGGTAATTTTTTCTGACAAGTTAGCGTGCCAGGAAGTGAAACGTACCTGTTGTCATCTGGGTCCAGTTATGACCCGGGGCCTGCACCACCCCACGTTACCCTGAACTTGACCTCATGGGTTAATGAACCTCACAGATCAGTCCCAGGAGCTGGACCCAAAAACCTTACTTTTCAGGAGATACACAGTATACCCTCAACACAAAGGTCTTGATGTAAATGTGACTTTTCATGCGTATATGCAAGTGGGTGGAAGGATAGTAACTACTTTTTCGCTCAGTGCAACCGATTCGCGTGCTCTGTTGGTTCCCCAAGTAGCCATCTCGAATATCCAGTATGAACACATGGATTTCAGTTCAAGTCTGCAAGTCAAGCCATCATCCCGTTCAGTACTGTAAGATTTATGTTGACTCCTACCAGGAGCTCAAGACCTTGATCGTGCGAGATATGATAACACTGTTCCAAGCATGTGGCTCCCTCCTGTAAGTTTCAAACTTGCTCTGCCTAGTCCCAACATCCTTCCAACCTATATTGTCCTGTTCTACTCGTTTTGACTTACATTTGTTCTGTTTGTATTGAATCATACAGCCATATTTCTTTCATCATTTCCTTGAGATTTGATTAAGCACCGCAGAAAATTTTGCTTGGCAGTTGTAACAAGTTGTCAAACTGAATAAATGTCTGGCACCCCGCAACATCCAACTCTTATGAAATCCAATATGAATGTCATGGTCTGCTGTATTTGTTTACAAGTGCGTGATTTATGTGACAATCAGCAAACTTGTGTGGTGCCTGTGCTGCTCTGTGTGGTTGTAAATTTCTCCTGCTGGATGTTGTGCCTGTTAATCCTGGTCTAACCCTGTCTGTCTCTCCCCCCAGGAGCCGCCAGCCCAGGAGATGGAAAAAGCAGGTGGCTGCAAGCCTGTGCCAGTGGGCATGGCAGATGACTGCTTCCCGCTAGAAGGTATGCTTTGATCCTGGTGGTAACCAGTCTGTTATAGTTTGTGGGGAGGGAGGGAAGGGGTGCAGACTAGTCGTAGCCAGCCAGATTTCCTGTGGCCATCTCCTGGTATAGCGTTGTAAATGACTTGTGTCGGCAACAAACAGCACCTTGACTAATAGAAAATAGAGGCCCGTACTTACACGTATTCTAGTCAGGTTCCGTCGGCAGTTTTCTGAAAGGAGGAGCGAAGGGTTGGTTTAGTGACGTCATCATGTGTATGTATGTAAGCCTTGCGTGTGGCTCACGCTCTGTTTGAGAGACACAAGCAGCTCAAAGGATTTCTTGCAGGATGGTTTTGAACTGTAAACAGGTCACAAACAAAGCAGGGATGTGCATTTTAGCAGCAACATGTAGCTGAGCTGTGCACAGACCTCGGGTTACAGAAGAGGCCTTTTGATCCAGGCATTTTCAGCCAATGTTGTTCTGGCCCGTTATGTAGGACATAAACTTTTGAAATTCCACCCTCAAGAGAAAGTAATCAGGGGGCCAGGGTCAGGGATGCCACAGAAATCTGGGCCCGGCACAAGCCTTGTTTGATCGTAATTTGCTATATCTTCAGAAAGAGCGGCTTTGTTACGAGGGTCCTATGTGGAGCAGTTCATTAGTTGTTAGGTTCAGCCCCTTGGTCCCTAATGGGACTAATTAAACTTCTGAAGCCTTACTTTGGGGAAGTGTCCCTGTGACTGAGTCTGCAGCAGGCCACCAAAACATATACATTTTAGCATGTTACCTACAGTTGTCAACAGCAACAACAACAGAAAAGAGAAAATTGGAGGATAACCTTTCAATTTCAAACGTAAGGCAGACAAAGAAAAGTCCACCACCCTGAAATGTATGTCCCCCTTCTTCCCCCATGCCTGGTTTGGATTTACTCCATTCGGAATTTTGGTTTACTTTGACCTGAATTGAAATGTTTCTGTTACCCATCCTGGTATTTTTCTTCATTGTGTGTTTATAAACGAATGCTTGTGTTTCATATTGAATGTCCATTTTCTCCCATCCCACCTTCCCCTATTGCAGTGGACAGGAAGCCGCAGGGTAGTGAACTTACTATGGTTGTCATAGTAACAGGCCAGGTGTACAAATAATGACAGGAAAACTAGCCTAATAGGGATCAGCTCCTATAACAGTGACGGTTAATTTTCATGTCCTTTTGCAACAAATTGAACATGATACCTTCGCTTCTTGCATAATTAGAAAAGAAACAAAGTGATGAGAGCTGTTTTCTCTGGGCTGGATTTCTCCCTAAGTGGTCAGGTACATGGAAGGACCGAGGTCTCCTGTACGTCTTGGAAGGAAACATAATCTGCCCCTCTGGGCCTGTTGACCATGAGTTTGTTGAATGTTTGTGGCAGACTTTGCCTCAGCCTTGTGTTGAACAGGAGGCGTGTGTAGCCAAAGTCCGTAGAATTGGGACTTTGCCCAGAAAACTCGGCCAGGCTTACATGCGGCCTGGCTGTCTCAGCCCCGTAAAGAGAGTCGTGTGGTAACCCCATAAAGAGGGTTGTGCACAAGGGAAGGGTGTTTAGGGCACAACAGGTAGTTTAAATTGGCGAGTCGATCAGGTTTCAGGCAGAGATTTGCCTGCATAGCAAGAGAGAGATCCCAAGAAGTTTAATGATTTGACAGAGACAAACCATCTTGACATTTCTGTCTTCTTTTGAACTTGTAGTTCATTCTGTCCTATTCAAGACAATGCAGATTGAAGGCCTGGCTGGTGTATTTTGTTTGGAATATCGTGAACATTGGTACTTGAAGGGGGGAGGGGGCAGGTAGGGAGGGTAGAATTTAATCCTGGTGGTTATAAGGAGTAAATCACCAGAACAGAAAAGATGACATGCTCTGATTCTCACAACAAGTAAACATCTCCTACTTCTCAAACCAACTGGAAACAAACTTATTTTAATGATATAGAATTAATTGGGATGGTAGGAACATTGCTGGGAAAAAAAACTTGCGATTTGGCTGTGCAAAAAAGCTTGTAACCTGCCTTCTTCCAGTAAACGAAACAGTTGGCTAAACCGCAGAGAATAAACATTGACAGGTCATTTGAGAAATTTTTTCGCTTCCTAATACAAAGCCACCTGACCTGGCAGCCACAACTATCCACAAAGCCTCGCTTTATTTAGCGCTGTCTAAAGTCTCTGTCATTCAGGAAGAATCCCTGGACTGAGCCACACACACTCGGTAAACAAACAAATACTGCTGGCTCCTGCCCAGAAGGAAACAAACCAGGCAACTTCATAAACATGAAGGAGAGTCTGCCATTGGAAACACAAACACACTAATTGTCTGGCCTAAATTACAGGAGTAGCCTGCTAGTCTAGACAATCTGGCTCAACGAGTTGTTAGGTCTTGGGCACGAGTTTAACAGCCTCGTTGCTGATGTCATAATGTAGGAACTGTTTTGGGGGAAGGTTGTCCTATTGCTGTGGCTTCTGTTGGAGTGTTTGAAGTAGACTCATAGGTGTGTGCTCCCATTGTCTTGGCAAGCACTTGGGAATAGTTCTGAGCTTGGTAGGAGTGTGTTTGTGTAGAACCAGCCCACAGGACTACTGTTGAGGTTTTCTTAACCAGCCCAGCATACTCAGAATACTGTACTCTCTGAAAAATGTTCTTCTCAACACAGCCAGATCTGGTACTCATCATTAGCTATTGGCTTGCTTACTACAATCCTGAGTGTTTACAAAGTCTGATGGTAGCCTGGCTGGGATGGGAACTGTAGGTTTGACTGTCAGATGTATGTAAGTTTTAGGCCCGATTTAGACTAGAAACGGTATACCGTTTTGAAACGGTTCGAAACGTTTCTCCACAGAAAACGGTTCGTCTTTAGACACAGAGGCGGAAGCGTTTCGGGCCGCCCGTGGCGCAGGATGTTTCTGACCCACAGTGACCTATGATGACCTCCCTGAGCCGCTTCTACGGTTTGCCTCATTGGCCTTATGATACTTGTGTTTCAGGGCCTTGAACTTCGCCCGAACCTGCTTTGGGGTGCATAAATACCCCTCAGCCGCCAGCCCGTCCACAAGCATCTGTATGCCCTCCCTTTTACGCAAGGTCTCCAAGCGGGATTGTATAGTTTGATCGGCACACAAGATGATCAAGCAGCGGATCTCTTCTTGGGTCCAGACCCTCCCCTGGCCTTCTGCCATCCCCC